AGTAATGAACAAAACTGACAATGCCCTTACATTCTCTGTCCTCATTTGAGTGTGGACATAGATAATATAGTATTGGATAGTGATAAGAACCATGGAGGAAAAACACAGCAAGTTCAGAATTTTTAGGAGGATACTATTTTTAACAGGATGATTAATTAAAGAAATAACAGCCTCCATGAGGAAATGACATTTGAGTACAGATCCAAATAAGAGAAGGAACAAACCATACAAATGATTGCAGAAAGGGAGTTCAAGGCAAACATCAAATGCAAAAACTCAGGTTTGACTGTATCTGAGTGACTGAAGAAAACTAGGCCAGTACCCCTGGAGGGAAATGAGGGAGAGGAATATTCACAGAGGAAAAAGGTAGAGACATAGTCAAGAGTCACAGATTGGACCTTGTTGATGAGAAGCTAGTGGGGTATATACAGCAGAGAATTACAAACTAATTTATGTTTTAAAGAGGGGCAGGACAAGAGTGGAAGAAAAAAGACCATTAAAAGGCTACTGCAGTAGAAGAAGACGATGACTTGAACCAGAACAGTAATGCTGGGAGAAAAGATATGTGGACATATTTGAGATATATTTTAAAGAGTATCCACTAGAACTTGCTGAAGCGTTGGATGAGGCCTGTAAGAGAAAGACTCAAAGTTTTTGGTCTCTGCAACCAGGTTAGTGAGATAAGGTACGTTAGAGGAGAAAAAAAAAAAAATTCAGATTATGGGAAATCAAGAGTTTGTATTTGGACATAAATTTAAAGTATCTATGGAAATAATTGGACATATCCAATAGAAAATCAGAAATTATTGTGAGTGGGGACTAGATATATTTGGGACTACTATATTTGGGAGTTATTAACAATAGAAAGGTAGTATTTAAAGTCATGAAAATGGGCAAGCTCTTAGGAAATGTGGGGCGGGGTCCAACATATGAACTCTGGGGTATCCCAACTTTAGACATTTTAAAAGATCAGGTTATTCTTCTTACTGAAACTGAATTTGGGCACCTGTTATGATAAAGGTATGTCCACCATTTCAGATCTCTCAAAATGTTCTGTGGCTAAAGGCATCCCTGATACCAGATTTTGGAATATGAAGAAATACATAAATTAATAAGCCAATTAATGCATTTTATAAAACACCCTGTGGGGAAGCATGAGATTTCCAAATTCTGGTGCCAAAGACACTCCTGGAGGTAGTAAAGGAGATAAGTAGAAATAGGAAAAAAATAGTCTGAAACTCGAAAAGAATATTCCAGCCCAGACAGGAAGGTGCTAGTCTCACCTCTGCCTGTTTTCCCAAAGTGGTTTGTCTTTAAAGCCTCCAAAAAGGAAAAGGCCTGTGTGAGATTTGTTAGGGCAAGAAGGATAAAGGACACCAAGATAGTGTCCTATTCCAGTGGCAAGGGGTTTTAGGATTCTGGAAGCTCGGAAAAATGAAAAAGAGCAGGCTAAGTGGAAAGGGAGGCACCTCTAAAGCAGATATGAACTTGAGAAGAGCCCTGAGGATGAAAGGATGAAAAGGCCAGTGGGATTTCCCAACATTGTCTCAATTTGAATAATGTTTGTTATGCAGGAGACAACTAAGGCAAATTAGGAACAGAGACTTGTTTTCTCAGACATCCTTCCAGGAAATGACTGCATCATTTCCTCCTTCTCATTTTCTTCAATGAGCTTATACCAGAGAGGTGTGTTTTCTCTTTAAGAAACTCGGAAATGATTCTAAGGTTCTTTGGATGGCTCTTCAAATTGGTTTCTCTTGCTGAAGTTAGAGTCTACAGTGCTTAGATCGAGTACTTAATTGGAAGTAAACTGGTACTTTGAGAAGAAACAGAAAATTAAGATTGCATCATTAATCAAATCAAAATATAAATAAAAATCTCTATTTCATCCACTCAATAGTTCAAAAACTATGTGAGTACCTTCTGTGTACCAAATATACAGATGGAAAACTGATGGTACACAAGGCAGAAACAAATTGGTAGAAAATATGTAGAATACAGAAGAACTCATTTTAGAGACATGGCTTTAGTTAGGATAGAGGACTGCTTCTTAAAAGAGGTAGCTTAGAACCCACAAAGAAAAGAAATACACCACACCTGGTATCAAGTATTGATGAACTGGTACAAGTAATTGTGAATAAGCTCTTTTACAATAGTGATCAACAGTGACCATTGAATCAATATTTTCACTATTTAAGAAAGTCCCCCCCCCCACAATTCATGTGATTATCATCACACATGGGTAGAAATGATAAGGAAAGGCATTCATGGTCAGTACTAAAAATCAACAATGGGTGATATGCTCAACCCACCATGGGTGGACAGCCAAGACTGATCCCATGAGATCATTAAGATCCATGTGGGAGATAGCAGTTCTAAACATTACAATCTAGAGAGTCAACAAGTAATCAAGATGCTCGAAGTAAATTCTAGGGCTTGAAAAAATAAAGTATGATAGAGCCACTTTCCTAGAGGCCCAGGGAATTTGCATGATAATGGTATCTCATACTCCCTTAAAATCCAATCCATTAGATGAATTCCAGAGAAACTCAGAAAACCACAGATATTAACAATTTTACACAGGAAAACCTATAATGAAGACTAGGGTCACTGATTATTTTAGCAGATAACTTGCTAGAAAAGAGAGAATATGTTCTCTGTAATTTATTCCTTCATTCAGCAAACATTTATTGAGTATAGAGGAAAACCATGCCTGACTAATCTATTAAAGTAGTGAGACAAAAGTAAATGTAGCTAAGACAAGGATGAAAAAAATCAAATGGACTCACTATTCAGAACTGACTTTAAGAAATAAATAGGTATTTTTCTGGAAAGAGAAGTGTTAGTTGTATAGTTTCTCAAAGAGCTGTGTAACGTTATTCAATATATGGAACACATTCATATCTAAAAATGTAGCTGCCTGATAAGTTTATTTCAATTTAACAAATTTCATTTTATTAATTTTATTGTCATCATAAAACAA